CAGGAACAGCAGATGGAGTCTGTAGGAGTGCCACTCTGATTGATGGGTGTTTATTTTCCTTTTGCTCTTCAGGTGATGCTGAATTCCTATCTCTGGAAGACTTGCTCTGGGTGAGAGATAAGAAGCTCTCAGTATCGAGTGACATTTCATGGACAGACCCATCAGAGTCAAGGCTCAAGCTCCTGCAAATGTCACTGTTCCCAGCAAGAGCTGATGTGAAACTCAAGTCTTTGGCTTCATCTTCAAACACGCCTTCTGCTGGCTCTTCCAGTTCACAAAACAGGGTTTTAGCCACAGCAATGGAACTGGAGCGCATTAGATCCTGGTCTTCAGCTAACCCAGTGGAGACCATGAAGTTACCTATTTGTACAGTGGAAAAAGTTTCAGTCAGGCCAGTGTGACCCCTTGCAGTCTCTTCCAGAATCCTGTAGCATCTTTTGTAATCGGAATTACTCTTCTTGGCTTGGCTCTCCAGTGGGTCTGGGCTTCTCTCTACATCTGAAAATGTTCTCTTCAGAGATGAGGGACCTGCAGTTTGAGTGTCATGTCTCACTGACAGACAAACATCCCCCTGAGCAACAGACTTCATTTTGTTGGTATGAGGCCTCTTGTCTGCAAGATGCTCTCGATTTGACTTGCTTGGCAGATTGCTTATGGCCTCAGCAGAGAGGCTCAGTATACCAGGTTTTGTGGGGGCACAGTCTTGTTCAGGCCCTTTGGACTTAGAAAAAAGAAAATTATTTTCACAATGGATGAATCAATCTGAAGGATCAATATATGAACTTACAGTATAAAAAAGACACATTTCAATTAAGCTGTTTCAATTACAGATCATTCAATCCAATCAAAATTTTTATTGTCTATACCAGCAGGGTTCCCACCTTTTTCAAGAAAACAATTTCCAGGACATTTTCAATGACATAAGGCTGTGATGTCTTTGTGGACGTCTCTTTTAAAGCATATGTATTAATCTATGATGAGCAATTTTATTTTTAAAAAACCATGGAGGAAGCATAACTTTGCATTCATAAGTCCATAATATTAAAATACTTAAATTAAGATTATGGGGCAATCAAGTTGGTCAAGACACATCTAATTAAAACATATAACATTATTTAATAGGTCATAAACTTCATACAGTCATAAACATACTGTACAATCACTGACCTCCTCACATTCCCACAGTGGACTGATGGCACCTTCAATGTCAGAGATGCTCCCTTGACTTATCGTTTCAAACCTGTTTCTGGTCTTCAGCAGTGTGGGAGTCAAATTTTTAGCCAGGCTATGAGGTCTCAACACTGTGGTGTTAGGTCCTACACAGATAACACATATAAGCCAAAACACACATTCTAATTACCAAGATGTCCCCAAGAAGCTATATAATGCAACATCTTTTCATAAATGATTAAACAGTCCTTGTATAACTTGCTATTCCACAGGGCTGATGAATGAATAAAAAACAAGAGTCAAAGGCTCTTGGATATCTACTAGGACGTACCTAATTTCAATGAGTAGCTAGCTGGAGAGTGCAGCTGAGTGTTTGTTAAGGGAGAACCAAGAGAGTTATTTTTCTGTTTCATTTTGCCACAGCTCATGGGACTGGACACAGCAGATGCGCTGCAGTGACGCTTGCTTTCTCCCATTGGTGTATTCTGTGTTTGATAAAATAAAGGAAGTGTCATTATGCAACACACAGTATGCATGCAAACAGGACATCTCTCTATTCAAAATTCTGTATATTAACTTACAAATCCAAGAGAGCTGATTAAGGAGAGGACTTGACCCGGAGTGCGGAAATAATCCGTTTTGGGTTTAGCCAAGGATGGAGTAGTCAGGATATCCATAAGGCTCAGCTCTGATAGAAAGAGCAAAGCAATAAGAGAGATATTACTAACATTTCTGGTAGTGACAATCCCAGTTTATTCACTTGTTTGTTAAAGATGGTGGAATTTCATACCTCTGTCAAGCTTGACTTTAGAAAGGCCAAAATCTGTTAGTTTGATATGACCTTCGTTGGATATAAGCATGTTGTCTGGCTTCAGATCCCTAAAAGGATTTATGAAGTAAGTCAATTTAAGGTCGCACACTAAATCTCACCCAAACCACTGAGGGTTATACACAAGTAATGATACCCAAAGAAACTGAACTTAGAATCAAAGCACCTGTGGATTATGCCATGACGGTGAAGGTAGTCTAAAGCCAAAGCCACCTCTGAGATGTATTTTACAGCCATATCCTGGTCGAAATATCCATAAATGTGAATGAGAGATTTGACATCTCCACCATTGAGGTACTCCATTACCTGTAAGCAACAAACAAATACATAAATAAATGAATGAATGGAGATTTATCGGTGGCTATAACGACTTCACCCAAGAGATAATGTAAACTTTGCTTGGTAAACGGGTCACTGCTTTAGCCACCGGATCTTACCAGATAGATCTTGGTAGCAGTCTGAAGGGAGTAAAACAGGTGAACCACGAAGGGACTTTTACTCAGAGCGAGTGCATCTCTCTCTGCTTTCATTTGTCCCGTCATATTTTTATCAACCATGCCTGCCTTCTTCATTACCTGACGAAGGAACAGAGTATTTTAAGGCTGTAATTCAGTGTTAAGGCACATTAATGGCATATACTCATTAAAGTGACTCACCTTAATGGCATATAATCGCGAACTGCACTTCTTCCGTGCAAGATAGACTTTGCCAAAAGCACCGCGACTGATAGGCTTCAATACGATAAAATCCTCGATTGAAGGTGGTTTAGGACTATCCACCAATTTGTTACTTGTTCTGGAGTCATGCTTGTCATCTGTATCCATTATTTAACTTCTTTCAAATTAGAACTTTTGTTGTGGCTGTAGCAGATCGCGCCGACATGTCAAAACAACGACCTCAAATTTGTTTTGAAAATTTGAATTCTTCCGCCGGGGTCCTTGGAGCTTTTTTTGCCTTTCAAGTAACTGTCTGTGCGCAAAGCATGACAAACGCTTGACGTGTGCCGTAATGAAAAGATTTGCAAATTATTGCATTTATAAACGCAATAGCAGTACTATATAGTCTAAATAATATACCGTTTATATACTTAAATAGGAATGATTTTCAATATTTCATTTTTGATCAGGCAAATTAAGGGTCACCAATAATTTGTAAATTCTGATAGTGTAACACTGATAGATAAACATTTCTTTCATTTGAGAGACTTATTTAGTAAATGTAGATGACTTTATTGGCTATATTTGTAATCTACACTTGGCTCATTTTAATATGCATATGTACTTTTAATGCGGTCTTTCACGAACGATGTAATGACGCAATTTGACGTCATTTTGTAGTAATTTCATGAATCATGGTTTGACCAGGGAATACGGGCCGGAGAACTTATTAGCTGCTGATAGTAGTATAACAAGGAGAACTAAAAGGGCACTGTCCCCTGGAGGATTCGTTCACTCACGATATATACAGACATAGAGAAGTCTGTTCTCATACATTTACCCATCCGATCTTTCTTTTCGGCAAAAATGTTTTCACTCTCGACCTCGTTTCAGCCACAGCAGGTAAGCCGACTGGATAGCAGCTCTGTGAACCAGCTAACGTTAACGAATGTGTATTTATTTGTGATTTATTTATAATGTCGGTGTTGCAAGGAAAATACTGTTAACATATGCGGATTATAGCTACGTGACTGTTGTCGTTTTGTAATTTAGTCAAATTTAGGTAAGTTAGTTTTGTAGTCTCTTCTGATCGATGACAGCAAGCGTGGCTAATGTTAGCATTAACAGATCAACATACCCATGTTTACATCAGACTGTCGACATGATGGTAATGTTACGTGAACTTTCAGTCATGACTTTACCATATGATATGTCAGGGGAGAACTAGGTCGATGTAAAGTGAAGGTTACCAACTTTATCTTCAAAGAGTTGCGTTTACATAACTAACAATCATCTGGCGTGTGTGGCCCATAATGCTCTATGGTAGAGAGTAATGCGCTGTAATAACAGTGACATAACAGTCCTGCCACACAGTTCAATATGGAAGATTCACCGGAAATCCCACAAAACTCAAAGAGCTTTATAAACATTAACTTATGCGATTGTTTCGTACTGATAATTTTTAAGACTACATCTCACCACGTGGTGACATGTTGTATTTTACTGTTCTTTGTTTATGTACCTGCCAGATGATAGTGCCCCTCAACCAGATCATCAGTGCCTTCCACTCTCTGAAGAACTCAGCCACAGCTTCAGTCCAGGCCTTGCATAAAGACTTCATTCCAGAGCACACTTCATATGGCAAAGAGGTGAGATGGACACCACAGATACATGATATACTTAAATGATTCCAAGAAGGTACAATAATTGTATAATTGTCTGTGACTTTGGTCTGCCAATATTTAAATTTGTGTCTCTGGAAGAAATGAGCGAAAACGTTTTGTCTAACAGGGTTTCATAGAAGCTCTAAAAACACCCATACCAATTTCAGTGTTAATGCCATAATATTTGTCTAGATGAAGGTGTAGATAACAACTTGTGCTTTTATTTCTTTATAGCCCAGTGTGAGTTTGAGGGAACTTGGCCTGTCAGAGATCAGGGTGAATCAGCTGGATGAGCTTGTCAGCAGGTTACTGCCTATACCAGGACCACAGGAAGCACCCACTGTCCCTTCAATATGGCGGACAAGTCATGTTTCTGCAGACAGCTTTTTTCACAACAAACATGGTGAGCAGCTCAGGCTCAGATTTATGGTCTTCTAAGGAAATGGCCCAAAGCCCAGTTTATCAGAGACAATTTACACATTTGTCATTTGACTTTGTCTCACAGGTTTTTCACACAGACATTTGGGGGGTTTTGGCTCACCAGTATTTCACAGACAATACCACAGTCCTCTAAAAGACGTTTGTTCACGGCTACAGTTTTTGCCTGGTAAGAAACAAGACTTTGAGTGCTTAAAATGCTGTGTGTAAGTTATTTAGTTTTATGATGGCCTGGACATTTATGGTAGTGTTTAATGTTGGCTGTGTTCCATGTGTATCTCTGTTTAGTATGGGTCCAGAGTCAGGGTTTCAAGACACTCAGATCAAAGACCAAACGAGTGGAGTCTAGTTATGATGGTCCAGTGGAGTCTGAGGCCTACACACCAACATTCATGAAGGTCACTTTTCTGTCTGATGGAAAGATGAATGTGTCTTCTGCATCGATTTTACTTTAAGTAGACAGAGTGGCTGTTTGTGTGCCAGTTTAAATGCTGGGTATTTCCCCTCACAGGGTCTGCTCCTGAGGGAAAAGGGACCAGAAGTACAGTCATTGGACCAAGTGATGAAACTAAAAAACCTTCCAGAAAACCAGGAGGAAGCTTTCAAAACAGGTTTCACTGAGGGTTTCATGAGGTCCCAGGCCCTCACTCGGAGAACACAAGGCATGTGGCTACAAATATCATCTGAAAAGAAATCTTACATAATCAAAGAATTGTCTCCTACAGAGTGTAACAGTTGTACCATATTTTCTTTGGGTGAGTTGATACAGAGAGGACTCTTTGCTAACTGTCTGTGCTCTGTGTTGACAGACTCGCTGAGGAGAACCAGGTTGATCCTGTTGGCCCTCCTTCTTATTGGCATATATGGCTTGTCAAGAACCCCTTTTCTTTCAGGTAAATGGTACACGGATCTTCATTTTTACGTGTGCCTCAGTAAGCATATTGTAACCAGAGGTTATATTATCCTTCATTATGAGACACTGCAAAGAAATGGGACATCTTCCTGGTATTTTACTGAAGGGGTTGTTTTGGGCTTCCACAGTGCGGTTCCGCACCACATCTGGTATTGACTCAGCTGTCGACCCCATCCAGATGAAGAGTGTGACTTTTGAGCACGTCAGAGGAGTGGAGGAGGCAAAAAATGAGTTGCAAGACGTTGTTGAGTTTCTCAAGAACCCCCAGAAGTTCACTGTTCTGGGTGGAAAGCTGCCTAAAGGTATTAACTTTCTTCAATGTTACAGTTCCTCTGTTATTGAGCAGGAAAATAGCCTAATATACAAATATGGTCTTTTCCTGTATTTTTGATATGCTAATATCCTGATTGTTTCTTCTCAGGGATCCTCCTTGTTGGTCCACCAGGCACAGGAAAGACTCTCTTAGCAAGAGCTGTGGCCGGAGAGGCGGATGTGCCTTTCTACTATGCCTCTGGGTCAGAGTTTGATGAGATGTTTGTGGGTGTGGGTGCGAGCCGCATCAGGAACCTTTTCAGTAAGCTTGCTGGAGAAAGTGTGAGTAACCAGCTGGGGCTATCTATACAGTTACAAACTCTCTTTTTTGTGGTTTGCAGAAGAGGCAAAAGCTAGCGCTCCCTGTGTCATCTTCATTGATGAGTTGGACAGTGTTGGCGGAAAGAGGATTGAGTCTCCTATGCATCCTTACTCCAGACAAACCATCAACCAGCTGCTGGCTGAAATGGATGGGTCAGTTTTATGGCATTGATAGTTTTAAACTTCACAGTGTGAATAAAATATTGTCTGAACTTTCACTTCCTAATTCCTAATGTTTTGGTATTTTCCAGATTTAAGCCAAATGAAGGTGTTATTGTTATTGGTGCTACAAACTTTGCTGAGGCGCTGGATAAGTATGTTTACATTTCCAATAAATACTTTACCTAACAGCTGCTTTATTATCCTGTTTTAATCAACTAGAAAAACACCAATTCTGTGTACACACATGCATAAAAAGTTACTTTCAAAATGCTGTGCAGTAAATAAATCCTGACTATTTTTAGATATTTTGTCCTAGTACTACTTTTCAATTTTTCATTGACAGCCCATTAAAGTCTGAGGCTATTTTTAATATGAGTATCAGTGTCATTTGAGTCAATCACTGTGCGGTTACACAGCTTCTGAGGTAAAACATTTATTTCACACACGTAAGTGTGCGACAGTACATCAGATGTGACTGCACAGTTCGCTAGTTTTACATGGGCTTTTGCATTTAGGTTGGAAGTATTAAGAAACAGTAGTTTGACAGAACTGACGAGTACATGGTACTGAGTATGACTTTTACCTTTCAGTGCTCTGGTCAGGCCAGGGAGGTTTGACATGCAGGTGACGGTCCCTCACCCAGATGTGAAAGGACGGACTGAAATTCTCAACTGGTACCTCTCCAAGATCAAAGTTGACCCAGGTAGGTCTCAGTGGGAAAAATATACAACAAACAAATGTCAGACAAAGCAGATATTTAAGTTATGTATCTTACTTCATCTTACATTTTTGTGACTATTTCAGAAACAATTTGTAATTGACAACTTGTGCAGTATTAATGAGAAAACGACAGCACAGCAGCAGATATATCACTTAAAACCACTGCAAAAAGAGGACCTTTCTTTGCCATTACTATGAAGGACAGCATTGTCTTTTGAACACTGATCACCCCTATAAAGAGAGCATCTACTCTTGTTGTTCTTTCACAGCTGTGGATGCAGAGATTATTGCCCGAGGCACCGTGGGCTTTTCTGGAGCAGAGCTTGAAAACCTTATCAACCAGGCAGCCCTGAAGGCGGCTGTGGACGGGAAAGAAATGGTCACAATGAAGGAGCTGGAGTTTGCTAAGGACAAGATCCTCATGGGTGAATAGACACACTGTTTAGTTCTGCTGTGTAGACAAGACATATTACTTAAACAAGTGGAGAAAAAAAAACAGACATTTTAATCACCTATAACAATTTTATTGTGCCCTCTTCATACAGGCCCTGAGAGGAGGAGTGTTGAAATTGACAAGAAAAACAAGACCATCACAGCCTACCATGAGTCTGGCCATGCCATTGTTGCCTATTACACCAAAGATGCAATGCCCATCAATAAGGCCACTATCATGCCACGAGGCCCGACTCTTGGCCATGTGAGTTGCTGTTATGGGTCTTAATATATCTCCTACTCATTAATAGTATTTTGTGCCTTTACATTTTGTAACCCTAAAACCCAGTACTGTGCATGTGTCTGTGTTCTAGGTGTCCATGCTCCCAGAGAATGACCGCTGGAGCGAGACACGAGCCCAGCTGCTGGCTCAGATGGACGTCAGCATGGGCGGTCGAGTAGCAGAGGAACTCATTTTTGGAGATGACTACATCACCACTGGTGCGATTTGATTTAATTGACACTTAGATGTTAGTGAGGTTGTGCTATCATCACCTTTAATGCTGTTAAAGATGAAATACATTACCCATATTGTACAACCATATCTTTTAAAAGGTTTCTGTGCAGTGTATATAGGACAAAGACTAAAATATGCTGCCTGTGGTTTTTACAGTTTTACTTGTCCTGAGGATAAAATTTTCCTTTGTATCAAACCATATCTTTCCCTCTGTGAAGCAAAGTCTTTAATCTAGTTTAATTAAACTGTGACAATTTCAGAAACGTAAAAATGTTGTATAGTTGTGACAAGATAGTTTACTTTGGTTGTTTGTAATACAGCATTAGTGTCAACCTTTACTTGCATTTTAGGAGCCTCCAGTGACTTTGATGGTGCAACCAAAATAGCAAAAATGATGGTGACCAGGTTCGGCATGAGTGACAAGGTAAAACTTAGTCTGTCTGATGTTTGAACGGTATAAATGTACATTTAAATGCAACTTCTGAACATGCACACAACATTTCTACTTCTGCACAACTTTGCACATTTTTCTCAATGTTCTCATGTCATTTTATAAACGTACCCAGTTTCTAAGTATGAGTCACTTTAGGTCATTTTTATTACAACCAAACCTCACAGTAGCTGATTTCACTGTGTCTTCAGTCACAGACTGGGACAGTGATTTACTTTGTTTAGCTGTAATGAATACTAACATTACTACAACATATAATTACACCTAGACAAAGAACAGCTTTAACTCCTGACTCACAGATTATGATAATCAGTAACTACAAACAGTCAATGCATGAAAAGGTCTATTGTTCATTCAACCAGTGGATGCAATTTTATATTTGCTGCAGCTCGGTGTCATGACCTACGGTGACATATCGAAGCAGAGCCCAGAAACACAAGCTGCCATCGAACAGGAAGTTAGGGCTTTACTAAAGGTGAGCTTTTCCACACCACTATTTTACTGTTTGGTTTACAGATATTTTATATATAGGTCATTTATAACACCTTTTTCTTTATCATTTTCTAATCTACTGTTATTACTCTTGTACTCAGGACTCATATGAACGTGCTAAAAACATCTTGAAGACCTACAGTAAGGAGCACAAGAAGCTAGCTGATGCCTTGCTTAGATATGAAACTCTGGATGCCAAAGAGATTCAGATGGTGCTGGAAGGCAAATCACTGGACCACTAGATACCTCATAGACCTTTTATACTCTTATGTCGTGTATATATATGAAGTTGTGCAATCAAGCACAGGCCCATCAGAGGCCTTGTATTTTATTTGTTTGTGTCCCTCTTTGTTATTTCCTCTAGAGGAGACTTTTGGTTTCACAATGATTTTTAAAACACTTCACTGTTCAATTGGATTATAATAAAGATTGTTTTCCCATAAGTTCATCCACTACAATTCACAAAGATATTAATGGATTTATTAAGGTCTTGTCCTTTACTGTCAAGGCAGATGATTTGGTTACAGACATTGGTTAATGTGAAAAACAAAAGCTTCATTATTTTACGTCTCAATTTTAAATTTGTACAGACTGGTGGACACCACAGGATTTCAAAGCACATCAATTCAGACTATACAGTGCCGTTTCGCTGTAGCAAGGTACAGGTGATAACACTGATCATTGTATGAGACTTTTTTTGTTCCTCTCTAAATTATACATCTCTGTTGCATCTAACGTGTTATGTCTTGTTCTTAAGTGCCCAAGGGTGTCCCCTCTTTTTAAATTACTGATCAAAAGTCACCTGTAACTAAATGAGGGGAAATGTCAATACACTGCAAGCATGTAAAAGGACTGGCTTTGTGATTCTGTTCTTATCATTTAGACAAAGGTCTTAAGGTCAAAGTGTCCTCTTATTCATGAATGTGTACAATACACACCTCAAAATAGACTTAAGCGTTCATTGTTTTTTTCTGGCCTCTTGGGGGCAGCATAACAAGCTGTATTTTCACCTAGTGACTGTTTAATATTCATCTTCCTTTTAGCTATGTTTTGGTCTTTGCTAACTCCTGAATGAATAATAATTAGTACTCTATTACTGTATGTTTACCAGCTAGTAGCCAATTACCTTTTAGCTTCAAACTGGTGCCAGTAATGTAACTACTATAAAGGGGATCATAACTGTTCCAGGCCTTAACACCAAAACACGGCATTGAAAGATGCTGAAATTCTCTCTAATGTAATGCTGTGGAGAACTACAGCGTGAGTGATAATTCTCAGAATCAATGAATGATATCTTTCACTATAGGCATGAGCGAAAATGTCAGCTAGAGCCATTTTAACATAATTGTTAACATGGTCAAAACATTGATTCGTAAGTACCCAATATTCTGTGCTCATCCAATTAATATCTCCTTTTTTAAAGAGTTTGTTTCCACTTTGAAATCAGAAGGGGGGAACGTCTTTATGTGAGCACCCGATGTGGTCTTAAGACTGTAATCAGGATATATTAAAGAACATTTGTGAAATAATAACTCTTTCACTTTTAAAGACAATGCAGGCTGTAGTCCTGCACAATGACCAGTCCAAGCACCTTGAAATCTGTCAATAGACATATGTACTGTTCTTTTATCAATTGGAAGACAAGAACAAAGGCTTATTTACTGCTGCCTCTGAATAATCTGAACCCGCAATTAGTGCATTAAGTGTCAGATGACACTAAGTGAAATGCAATAAAGCAGGGCATTGTTGTGTCCTCATCTCTTTTCAGTGACACCCAGCCCAGTATTTATAAAGGGTGTGAGGTAGAGCAGGAGTAGTTCTGACCAAAGGCACAACCAGTCCTGCACATCAAACTTCATCAAGGAGTGATGTGTAAATTCATTATTAATATAAACCACGTCCCCAGAGCAACTTTACCATCAAGACAGAATGGTGGGCGCAGAGGAGGACATCGCAGTCATCGGCATTGGATGCAATTTTCCTGGAGGTATGTTTACGTGGCTAAACGTGCTGATACTCGTCCAGTTTTCTCTGAAATAAGATGAAACAGAATTTGTCAACTATCCTTTGCTACATAGTTAATAGAACTGTCATGTTGCTTTTTGATCCATATATTGTTGATTAGTTTAAGAAAGAAAACAAGTGAAAATGGCATTATGCAATTACACTGGGATCCTTAACCCAGTATTTTAGAGCACCCTGTTGAAGCAATCATCGCAGTCAAGTGCTTTTGTAGCTCTTAATGAGATTTATACTCCTTAACAGGTTAGGCCCTTTGTTCTTGAGCAGACTGCTCCAGTTCTCTCAGGTTTTACGGGCACCTTCCCCCAATTTTTTTTTATGTCTCTCTTAAGACGGGTCATGCTGGAGTCCACTTGGATTCAGAAAGTGACATACAGTGTGACTGGACATTGTTATATCATGATTTTAGAGTTCAGACTGAATATGTTTTGAAGTTTTCAGTTGAACTCTAATTCATTCAATCTGGGCTCAATGCGTCTTGCAGCCACATCACTGGAGGTTGGCTATGATCCCATGGACATTAAACCTCTTAATAATATTAATAACTATGATCACAGGAACATCAAGCTGCTTGGAAATGGTCTTGTAGCTTTATCTTGACCATATTTAGCAATCAACCAATTCTCTTCTTGATACCAAACAGCACAATATGGTCTTTTCATTTCAACAATGACATGTAAGGGTAATAACACTTTTAGCCACACCTTGCTGTCACGATTTAGATTTTTTTCAGAGTTGTTTTTCGAGTTGTCTTGAGTCAAGGTAAATTTTTGTGATGTATTTTATTTTAGGTGAGGCACTGGACAACTTCTGGAAAGTTCTGTTGGAGGGAAAAAACTGTGTGGTAGATATTCCAGCAGAGAGATTTGACACCAGCTTTTGGTATAGTGCTGATGGTAGCAAACCTGGGAAGACGCAAACAACCAAGGCAGCTCTCATAGAGGGGTAAGCATTACACATGTTTAGGCAGATAGAGTTTGAATATCTCTCTCTAGAGATGTCTGAATTATGATGGAAGTGCTATTTTTATATTCTAGGTTTAATGAGTTTGATCACAAGTTTTTTGGCATCACTGAAGCAGAGGCCAATTTCATGGACCCTCAGCAAAAACTCCTTCTTCAGTGTACATACAGAGCATTAGAGGATGCAGGAATGTCAATTGAAAGCATCAGTGGAAGCAGAACTGGAGTTTACATAGGTGACCATTATTACTCTGTGAGAGAATTAAAATTGCAGTTTTATGATACACTAATTGTAATCAACTCTGCTTTGATTGTGGTGTTGCAGGCCTGATGAACAGGGATTACGAGATGCTCCAAAGTAATAGTCCTACTACAATAACCCACTACAACGGCACTGGAACAGCCACAAGTGTGGCAGCCAATAGAATTTCCTTCACCTTTAATCTCACAGGCCCTTCTCTTGCCATTGACAGTGCCTGTTCCTCATCTTTAGTGGCTCTACATTTAGCCTGTCAGGCTATAAAGCAAGGTATTTGGCTCTTTGCCTTGCACATGTCTAAAAAGGCATCACATTTAAATACTCCATGTTTACTTTCATTCTCTTTTACAACCAGGAGACTGTGAGCTGGCCCTGTGTGGAGGTGTCAGCTGTATAATTGAGCCAAGAGTGTTTGTTGCTCTCAGCAAGGCAAATATGATCTCACCTGAGGGAAGCAGCAAACCCTTCTCCAGCAGAGCAGATGGCTATGGTAGAGGGGAGGGCTGTGGGGTTGTTCTCCTCAAACCTCTGAAAAAGGTCAGTACATTATTGTATTTATTTAATTTTATTATCTTTCATTTCATTTCATTAAATAATTGCATATAATAATGTTGATGTAATGGCATTAATGCTAATGATGTGGCTTTTTATATGAAGGCTACAAATGACTGGAACAAAATATGGGGTGTCATCAGCAAAACAGCTGTCAACCAAAATGGTCACTCTGTCACACCAATCACCAAACCCTCCATGGTTCAACAAGAGGAGCTGCTGCGAAGAATCTACTCAGAGGGTGACCTCGCAAATGTCCAGTACATAGAAGCACATGGGACTGGGACCCCAGCTGGAGACCCAATAGAGGCAGCAAGCATCTCAAATGTCATTGCTAAAGCCAGACCTCCTGGTTCAGAGATACTACAGATTGGCTCAGTGAAGGGCAACATTGGACACACAGAATCTGCAGCTGGGGTGGCCGGACTCATTAAGGTACTTTTAATGATGAAGCATGAGACTATAGTTCCCTCAGTTTACTACTCTGAAGACAGTGCCAGTGTAGATGCAAAAACTCTGAGTATAAGTATTCCAATTAAAGCTGAATTTTGGGAGACACACAGCCCATTAGAAAGGGTAGCTGGGATCAACAGCTTTGGATTTGGAGGAACAAATGCACATGTAATTGTAAGAGAGCACAAACAGACCACCATTAACAAGGAGATCCCAAAAGACTGCACAAAACTCTTTGTAATTTCTGCAGCCTCTGAGAAATCACTTATCCTGTCCATTACGGACACCCACCAGAGACTATGCAACAATCAAACTGTTGACTTACAGGCACTGTCATACACCTCAGCATGTAGAAGGAGTCATTCCAGACACAAATATAGGAAAGCCTTCTTAACATCTTCCCTCTCAGATTTAGAACATCAGCTGACATCTGCACTGAAGACAAAGGTTGAGTCATTAAGATCTGATACCCAGGTCATCTTTGTATTTTGTGGAAATGGGGTTGCCTACAGGGATATGTGCAAGCAACTACTGACAGAGGTTCCTGTTTTCAGAGCCAAGGTCAGAGAAGTTGAGCATCTCTTCCAGAGACATCAAAACATCAGTATCAGTAAATGGCTTGCTAGTGACTATGATGATGATTTTAGTAAGCCAGATGTTGTCCAGCCTCTTCTTTTTGCTATCCAGGTTGGTATTGCTGAACTCCTAAAGTGCTGGGGTATCAAACCTGATGCAGTGCTTGGCCACTCTGTAGGTGAGGTTGCTGCAGCTCACTGTTCTGGCCTCTTGTCTCTTGAAGATGCTGTAAAAGTGTTGCATCACCGCAGTGCTCTTCAGAGCAAGGTGACAGAAGGGAAAATGCTTGTGGTCGGTAATGTGGCTGTAGAAAAGGTATTAGAACTTCTTCAAGTCTTCCCAGGCAAAATTAGTGTTGCAGCTTTCAACAGTCCTCAGTCCTGCACACTGTCAGGAGATGAAGATGCTATAGACTTCCTCCATGAAAGGCTAAAGATTCTGTTTAGAGATAAAAATCTCTTCCTCCATGTCTTGGATGTTCCAGCAGCATACCATAGCCATATAATGGATCCTTTACTAAATGACATTGAGAGAAGCATAGATTTTCTGGAAGTCAACAGCATGGAATGCAAACTTTTCTCAACAGTGACTGGAGACAGTTATTCAGACGGTGACTTCTGCACCGGCAGGTACTGGGCAAATAACATTCGTGAACCTGTTTTATTTGAGCAAACGCTGCGTGCTGTCACCAAAGGCGATCAGTCAAAGAGAAATCTGGTCTTTGTGGAGATTGGACCTTGCAGGGTTCTACAAAGAAACATACACGAAATTCTGGGAAACAACGCCATAGTCCTTTCCTCTGTCCAGCCAGAGAACGATTATGACTCAATCTTGTCAACTGTGGCAAAATTATTTGAATTGGGCATAAATGTAGACTGGCATCAGTTCTACAGGGGTTGCAAGACATTGCCCACAGCTTTCCCAGTCTATCAGTTTGACCACTCAAAAACAGGACTGAATTTTGGACATGGAAAAGGTAACGAGTTACCTGCTTTTTCTCCCCATACACTCATATCTCAAAGAAATCAGGATAACAAAGAGTATATGTGCAACATCTCATTAGAGATGACACCATATCTTTGGGAGCATAAAAACAATGGTGTTTCCATTGTACCAGGTGCATTTTATGTTGAACTAGCTTATGCCTCAGTGATGGCAAGTTTAAGGCCAAAGAAACCTGTGTCTCTGCTCCAGCTCAGTGTTGGATTTGAGAGTCTGTTTACACTCTGCTCAGACCATCATCATCTGAAAGTGACACTTGAGCATGGAGAGAATGAGGGTTCCTTTAAAATACAGTCTCCTGTCGCAACACACGCCTCCGGCACATACAGGTGTAAAGATGGTCAATCGCTTTTAGAGGAACCAAGCATTTGTCTCAACAGGATCTCCCAAAGGTGCAACTTGACTATGAAGGGGAAAGAGATCTATTCAGCTCTTTCACAAGCAGGATTTGAATACGGCTCTCTCTTTAAACAGCTCAGTGATGTGTATTTTGGAGGTGAATTCAAGGAAGCTATGACAAAAATTCAAGTCCATGGAGAACTTCTAAAACACCTTCATGATTATTTCATCCACCCTGTGTTATTAGACTATTTTCTGCAAATGACTGCAGTGGTAGCTACTGGACAACTAACAGCCAAGCTGGGATTCCCATCAGCTATTGGTAGTGTGGCCATTTCAGGACCACTACAAGAGGAAATGGTCTTGTACTTGCGAACAACCCAGGAGACTCTAGACTTCCTTGAAGTATGTGGTTGCTTTTCCACCACAGAGGGGAAAGTACTCGTGGAACTTAAGGCAGTGAGGATCTCAATTTTGGGCAATTGTCCAAATGTTCTTCAGTCATTGTTCTTCCACAATGAAATAATCATGATTCATGATGAGAGAGACTTGCAGAATTGCAAAATCAAAGCAATGGTTTTTGAAGATAAAATTGGCATCGCTAAAGGATTTAGACCATATTTACACCCAGAGTCAGTCACTGTGAAGAGCAGAGACCACTGGATGTCAGGGCAACTTCATGATTTGGTCTATCACTTAGCTAGCACCAATGTGGATTTGGAAGATATCCTCTTCTTCTGGGCTGTAGAGGACCTCAGTCACTTGTCATCTGAGAAGATGCTGGACTGCTTGGTTTCTTGCTGTGAACTATTTCGGCAGATTGTTTTAGCCTTGAAAGAGAGCAAACGTTCTTGCACTGTCCGTGTCATAACCTATAGATCAACAGAAATGACTGTGGACCATGTCAGTGCTGGTTTTGTGCTATCTGGTATGATGAGGGCGTGTGCAGCAGAGATGGTGGGTCTCTGTTTTCAGCTGATTGACCTTGCTTCTGTGACCAGTGAAGACATTCAAATGCTGCTTCATGTAATAAGTACCTGCAAACAACAAGAGATTATGATCAGCAAAGGGCAGGCATCAGCAGCAATAATGACACGGACACTAGTGAGTGACGAGGCTGTATGTGACCCTGATATGATGCCATTGTGTCTGAGCAACTTTGTTCTACAGACAAGTGAGCCATACAAAATGGCTCACTTGTCTGCCATCCCCTATGACACAAATAGAAATCCTGTCCAAGAGAAGTCAGTTGAGGTTCAGCTAATCCGTGTATGTGTGCATTCATCTGATTATTTTCCTGTCACCACTTCACATCTGAAGTGTGGCAAGACAATGTACTGGAACAAGCACATATCTCAGAATCACCCACTTCTGGCTTTAGATTTTAGTGGCATTGTCACAGCTGTTGGGAAAGACGTTCATGATCTAAGAGAGGGAGATCATATTGCCTCGTGTTATCCAGTTGCTGCTGCAGCAAAGGTTGTAATTCCTGAAGCTGTGTGCTACAGCACAAAGAGACTTCCATTTCTTGAACAGACTCCATGTATGTCGTATTTTATAGTGGCATGGGTGATTCTTCAGAAAATACTACCTATAGTAAAACAACAACACAGAAAGTTGGTTATTGTCTCCTCAAACCCAGCCTCTGCTCTGGTGAAAGTTTTGGCTCTGACAGCAAACAGATCAGGTTGGAATGTTTCCTCTCTGCAGCATTTCAGAGGAGAACCTTTAAATTTTGAACAGGGCCATGCATTTGTTTTTCTACCCCCATTCGATCACACTTGGCAACTAATTTATGACAGTGGTGAGCTTGACAAGCACATTATTTTTGTGTGTAGCTCTCACATGTCATCCTCACTCTCATCAGACATGTTTGCACTGAAGAGTGAACACATGCATGTCCATACACTTGATGTGGCTAATGTTCTCCAGAGAGCCAGTCTGCAAGCACAAAACAGGAACATCTTCAACTGGCTACTGTCATTAGGCTTCAAGTCAGTATCTCTACCTTTGAAAAAGGAGACATTTCAAATATCAACAACCGGAGACCCTCAGGCTAATGCAGAAGCCGAGTCCTACTTCACAACAAAGACAGTGCAGCAAGTCGTGTTAGATCACAGACAACTAGATTATCCAGTGTCTGATATTCATTTGCTTACAAGTCCGAGACAGCTCTTCAAACAAAGCTGTGTTTATATTGTAACAGGAGGCCTTTCTGGCTTGGGAATTGAGACAGTGAAGTTTGTCATCTATAATGGTGGAGGGTGTATTGTAACGCTGTCCAGAAGAACTGTGACAGATGAAATGCAGTTTGAAATGGAACTCCTCGAGAAAAGATATGGTGTTGCTATCATAAATATCCAGTGTGATGTTTCTGTGTCGATGCAAGTAGTGGATGCAGTCTCAAAGATTGAGCAAAGATTTTCTCCTTGTCCTATCAAAGGGGTTTTTCACAGTGCTGCAGTGCTGCATGATGCACTGATTGATACCCTTGATGAGTCCTGCTTTATAAAGGTGCTGCAGCCCAAAGTCAGCGGTGTTCTAAATCTTCACTATGCAACTCTTCACATCAAACTCGATTTCTTTGTGTGCTACTCTTCCATTTCTTCTTTCATTGGCAATGCTGCACAATGTAACTATGCAGCAGCTAATTCTTTCCTTGATACATTCTGTCTTTACAGAAGAAATCTTGGGCTTGCTGGACAGTCCATCAACTGGGGTCCTTTGAACCTTGGTTTCTTGTTGAACAAAGACCATTTTCAAAAGTTCCTGGAAGCAAAAGGAATGATGATAATGGATGTGTGTGAGGTTCACCAGGCTCTCAAAAAGTGTCTTTTGATGAACAGACCACAACAAGTAATATGCAAGTTCAACTTCAAAAATCTTAACATCCATGTTCTTTCACAAAATGCCTCTCTCAGAGATCGACTGTCATCTTTAGTGGAAATGGAGCTCAGTGAAGATATTGATCTCAGGGTTCAGCATTTACCTTCCACACATGAAAGTGTGAGAACAATTGTCAGTGACCTTTGCACTATCAGTTTAGATGAGCTGGATGATGACTCTCCTCTTTGGGCACTGGGTATTGACTCAATGTTGGCCATGACTCTACAGAACAAGATTTTCCAAGAGACAGATGTAAATGTACCTTTGGTTAAAATCCTGGACCCCAACAGTACAACGGCCACTTTGGTAACCATTGTACAGAACAGTGGATAATTTCATGTGATATTTGATGATGTGTGCTGTGCTATATTCTGATTTCTGTTGTAATATTTTGTAACATTTCTATTGTTGTTTTGCTTTTTATTTGTTTAATAGACAGAATCTCACAGTTAATCAACCCTACTAACCTTCTGTTAAAGCTTATGCCTTATGTCATAAAACTCCATTATCATTGTTATGTACTTTAACATTGGTTCAGTGTAATATTGGTTAAAGGTGCTTGAGGGCCTGTATCACCCCTTGTGGCCCTAAGATGCATAATAAGTGAAACAGTTAATACAATGTTTTTATAAATAGAATTAAACATTGAACATTAAACAATTTTCTTTAAATTTTGCATTGATTGTTGAAGCTCTGCATATTTTTTTTAAGTTTGCTTATTTAGTTTTGTTGTAATTTTTCTGAAGCACAGCTGATTTTAAACGGTGAAGTATCCATGGTACCAAAGAGCCAATCTGAAGCTGGACATTCTTGATAAATGTGAGTTTGAATAACGTGTATGAAAGAATATTTGTAAACAAACCTTCCTCATCAAGGACACAGACAAATTGGTAACATCATTTATTTTGTGTTATAATAAAGCTAAAATATTTTATTGTGATGTGAGAATTTTTGTACTATAGTGATAGCCATTAAATTTGCTGTGATATCATAAAGTTACAGTATTTTACATTAATTGCAAATACTTGTGTTATACCTCTGATTTTGTGTGAATTTATGGTTCATGAAACACTGAAGTTTCTGTCTGTGCTTATCTTTGCACTGAAACAACAGTACCTACAGTAACTGTGTACAACAGTGTTGTCATAACTGGTACTATTACTACTACAGTGATTTGATAAGTTCCATGCTTATAATATTTCTGCAGATATGACTGCATTTAAGCAGCAACCCCCCCCTGTACATAACCACTCAATAAGCCTGAAAAAGTGCTGTAAAACTCAAAAGGAAATGATATTTAGACTTTTGCTGAATATTCAAATGTAGCAACAGCTTTCATGGTACTGGACTGATCCTGAACACAGTAAGATTTGATTTGATTTATTCTTTCAAGCATGTAAAAACAGTTGATATGACAACACACATACACATAATCCAATATCAATTTGCTTATACCTAGTACATGCTTGAATGGAGTAGGAAGAAGTCAGACTTACAGTATCCAGTCCTACCCCATGACATCATCTTACCATCATTGGTTTGCAAGCAGTA